ATATATTGCACAATTTTAGTTGCCCTTGTAAAAGAAAAGACCATCTCTACAAAATCCGTTATCGAAGTGTCCACCTGCCTAGGGGCTCAACGGATGCACTTGAGGACACAGTAGGAATTTGTGGTCATGACCTGTTTCAGGGACACAAAGCAAACCAGCAGAATGTGACTAGGCTAGCTGAACGTGTGTGTATGTGTAGAAGTATGTGCGTGTGTGTCTGCCAGTTACAATGACAAGTTTTATTTCTAACCATAAATCAATGAATTTCAATCTATAGTTATTAAAATAACTGACTGCAGCACTAATTCCAGTGTACAAAAGGAAGCAAGAGGCTTAACGTGTAAACTCTGGTTTGGCATCTCTGCCAAAGTTACAACAGTTCAGCTGTCTGGTGACCAAGGGGTTAAAAGCTTTGCCTGTGGCGACAATGCTAGACCAGCTATAGGTCACACTCAAGTCCCAGCCACTGGATAGCCAACCTGCAAGACACAGCATAATTATCCCAGCCAGTTACAGTTCAATAACTACATCAAGCTGCTAGCCAGATACCAGGTTTCCCTGGCAACGCCTCCGAAGTGAATCACAGATCAGAGTGAGAAGGGGAGATAAGACCAGACCCGTGGAGGGAGCAAGGAGGACCGAGGGGGGAAACACCCTCAAATACTGTGGACCTTTGGACAATACGAACACACATGTGCAACGCCGACATGCACACACACACACACAACAAACCAGGTCTGAGAGCATTCCAGTTGGCTGTGCTGAGACCTCTGGCCTGCCAGGCCGTCAGTCTGTTCCCTTTGAGCTTTGTTGTTTGGTTTTCAATCATGAGCCCACTTTCCAGACTCCTGCTCTGCACCCACAGGCCCACCGTAAAAAATCCTTGGGTCTCAGCGCAGCTCGACTGTCCTTTCAACAGACACCCCCACCTCCCACAGCACTTACTGTAATCTAAAAAAGTTAATGGAGTTTATCTCTCATCCCTGTCGCCCAGAGAATAATAGAGAAACTTTTGTGCTTTCGATGCACAGGGATAATTACATTACGAGTGGCACTACGATTTATACCCTTGATTGAATTAAAAACAAAATTGAATTGGCTTTAGTGCAGATTTTAAAGGGGGGGTCGGCTTTGTGTATAAGATGTGTGTCTGCACGGGTGCATGTGCGTGGTGTCAGGCACACTTTCTGTGTGTGTTCAGGTGACTGTCTGGCCTCCTGCCGCAGTGTCTGGAAACTCAGACGTCCCCCACCCCTGCCCCCCTCCATTCCACGCTGCTCCACTATCAGGCATACCTGACGCCCCCCCTCCATCACTACCAGCACCACCTGCACCTCCTCCCCCACCCCGCTGCGATAAGAGATCCACTGAACACTAAGCTGCTTCACTAGACAACACAACCTGACAATCAATACAAAAAAAGGAATAAA